AGACCGTGCAGCGGACGCGGGCAAGCCGCGGTGGTCACGTGTTGTCCCGTACTGCGTGTCGTGTGCACTCCTGTACCCCGTCGAACCTTTGTGCGTCCGTTCACGTGCCTGTGCACCCTCCAACAGACCCCACCGACCAGGTACCATGCCCAACGACCATATACCATGCCACCCGGTCCTAGCCGCACCCAGCCACATCCGCACTCGTGCCAAGGGTCCCAACTACGTGTCAGCAGGCCCCAGCCGCACCAAGCCGTGTCTACATATACCAGCAGCCTCGGTCTGCGCTTGAACGCACCCGGCTGCACCTGCACGAGCCAACCCGCACCCGAGACGGTTCGATTAAGCCCGATTTTTATTTTCCTAAGCCGTTTGACTAATTTTCGAGCCTTTGACCTCGTTTTTCATGTAGATTCCATTTTTGGCCATTTTAAATGATTTTTTGAAATGTTTTCTTAAAATCCGAGGGTTCCAAATTTCACAGAATTCCACGAACTACTTAGTCGATAATGTTCGACTTAGTGTGAATTCTCGTGTTTTATTCTAAGTGTCAAGATAATAAATTGATGAGATTAACTTGATTAAATGTAGGTGTCTGATGAGCCGAGCTCTCAACCTACTCCATTGATCGAGCATTTTCCTGCTTTAATTGTTTATGTGGGTTTTATTAAATATCTATGCCATAAATTGTTTCTATTTGCTGGACGGTATGATCAATGTATGCGTGTGAACCATGTAACCTTTGATGGGTGTTGTATGATCTTTGAAACGGTTATCCCCGTCGTCGTGTGTTGTATGACCTTCAACGGTGCCTAATGATAGGCAGTCTCCCTTAGCCTAATGATAGGCCATGTCGTTGAGTGTTGTTATAGACCTTCAACATGTACTCCCATTGTTGAGTGTTGTTATAGACCTTCAGTGGCTTTTATAGGTGTGCACATGAGTATTATATGATGATTGAGAGATGTGATAAATCATTGATTCATGTTCATGCTGCGATCATACTTATCTGTCATTATAATTAATTTATGTGCATAGTAGTGGTGTACTCACTCCCATGTCCCCCTCCCCATTTCAGGTTTAGCAGGTGGCAGACATGGCGACGAGTAGACGAGTGGCTGGTCATTGCATTGACCTGATTTATTGCTTTCGCATTTACTGATGAACTTGTTTAATGATGAACATGTTTAGTATTTTTCAAATTATGATGAACATGTTGTTGTTTTGGCACTTGATGAATTGTTTTTAAAAACTTGATGAATTGGTTTGAACTTATGAGGAGTATGGCTTATTATGATGCCATAAAACCTGATGATTTGGTTTGATTTTGATGATGATTATGTCATGATGATATTTCTATGATGAAAATGATTATGATGTTTGGATAATGATATCCTTTATAAAAATATGGGTAACGAATTCCGGTCAGTTCACATACGGCTTGAACTGCTTTTGTAAAATGAATGAGTAACACCAATAAATGTTTTAAGTCGAAAAATGAATTTAAAAAAATTTAACTGTGATTTTTGGAAAAGTCTGAAATTTTCTTTAAAAATCAACGGGGCGTTACAGCTGCATTTGATAATTCGCGCCTATGAGAAGGTTGCTTGAGTTGTGCTAAGTCGTGCCTATGAGAAGGCTACATGATCTGCACTGAGTTTTAGTTGCGGCTATGAGAAGGCTGCATGACAAGTTAGTGTTGCATACTATTATCATGGTCTCCGTTAGTTATATTGAATAACTGCATAATATAGGCTCAAGGTGGGCTAGTTGTTTTGCTCACCCCCCACAATTATCTTTCCAGGTTGATCGAGTTGACGGCAGACACGAACGGCGAGAGGTGGTCAAAAGATGTTAATTTATATATGCTTCTGCATACTGTTTGGAACATGCTTTAGTTTTTCATGTCTTGATGTTTTCAGACAAAGTGATGTTTGACATTCAGTTGTTTTTCAAATTAAAGACTAAGTACTTTCAGTTGTTTTTCAAATTAAAGACTAAGTACTCGTATGCTCTGCTTTGTCTCAATTGATTTGAAAAGAAAGTAATTAAGATTCGAGTAAGTGATTTCCTAAGAACCTAAGTGTGAGTCTTAGGTTAAGAAAGAATGAAAAAGTTCTAAACTAAGTACCCTAAGAAAATTTTTAAAGTTAAATTAATTTTGAAAATGGTTTCGAAATTTCTGAAAAAAAAAAAAAAAAAAAAAATGTTTTTCTAAAGATAAGAAGAAGGTGGTTACATGTATTACTCCGTTATATTACTATACATCCAGTGCAATCGTAGAATTTGCAGCCTGAGCAATTAATTCAAGTCCAAAATAATCCTAAATATTGCACAAGCATCAAACCAACTTTTATGTCAAAATTAAAGAACGAGTACATTTTCAAATTGTTTGATCGATGTTCTCATTTCAATTTGGAGGGAACGCTCAAATCCCAAAATTTAGCCTTGTTGATGTTCATTTCAAATTGTACTGCTTTTGGCCAACCCTACCCAATCCTCCTTTTCCTGGTAACAAGGTGAATAATTAAACTTCTTAATTATAATTATGTAATTTCTATTCTCAGCCCAGAAGCTCATAAACATTGGTTTCTGGATTTCTTTATGCAGAAGTCGAGGTGCTTTTGCAATGTGGAGATGGACAAGTAGTTGCTAATGCCACGACCAAAGGCTTCGGAATAGCTTACTTGCATTTGGACCCGATGCTCCTTTTCCCATTTGTGTAACGAATGAAAAAGAACAAAATGAAACAAAATTACTTCATTTTGAATTGCATTTCCATGGTAGATTCTAGATCATATATATTCATTAAGGGGTACTTATGATGGATTCTCAGTGATTAGGCAGAAAAACATTGTTGAACACCAATTGTATCATATGTCAACCGAATATGTATGCTTAGCAACTTTCAAAGATTATAATAATACACTTTCAATTTATTTTTTTGTTCATAAGATAAACACATCAATTTGTTCACACTAAAAATCTCAGAACCATGTAAAAAATTCAACTCTACACCGTGTACAAAATTGTGACAACCCTTCATTTAAATTCATTTGCACCCACTTTGGACCATTTGCACAGATCAAATCCTAACAGAAATACAAAAAGGTAGCTCTCAAAGTGATTCTAGACTTCCAAAAAGCCTTCAATTTGTTTACTGAATGGGCCTTAACTCTTAGACTAGCTTGTAGGGAGAAGCCCACTATACTTTGCTCAATGGTCATAACCCTTGAGTACAAACACAAATTTCAGCCTTAAATCTCGAGATAAAATTTTCAGGCAACTTGAGCTTACAACTTGTCTCTATTGACTTGCACCGGCAATCTAAATCTCCAAGTCAGCACGCGTGCACGTCGTTTTCAGGTTTGCCGGACGAGTTGGGACTCGAATTAAGATTCGTAGAGAGTATCGTCTTCATTTTTTTATTTTTCTCTATAAATAGTGGCCAAAGTGCAACAAAAATATTCCAACCAAAGCAAACAAACAAGCCAGTTTCCAAAAGCTTAGACTTATAATTACCCGAAATAGGTACTATGGCCTTAAAGTCTGTTATTGTTTTTAGCCTCTTGCTTGCTTGCATTGCAATGCCACTGGCTGAAGCACAACTTGGTGGGCTTGGTGGGCTTGGTGGGCTCGTTGGGTCTCTCTTTGGGATTTTTAGAATCCAAGGCATTATATATTGCACTCCTAATGGGAACATTGGTGTCAATGGCACTTCCACCCCTGTCTTCCCCAGTAAGTTAAACAATTTCATGTGCCCAAACTATTGTTTAATCAATAACTATTGTTTGTAAATAATTTTTATTTAATTTTATATTGGCAGATGCTTTGGTGCAATTGCAATGCGGTGGAAATGTGGTGTCCACGGCTACGACGAATGGGTCGGGAGTATTTTCAATACTTTTAGACCCTCTCAACTTTCTCCTGCCGACGCTTATTTCAGGGTGCAGAGTGGTCGTCAGCACACCTTTGGTCTCTTGCAACGCGAATTTACCTTCGGTCGGAGGTCTCATCTCGAATTTGCAGTTCATAGGGAGTACTATAACTGGGCCCTTGAACATTGCCAACATCATCCCTATTGGTTTTCAGTTCAATGCTAATATGAACTAGCCAGTGGTGCATGCATCATAGTTGATTCATGTCCTATCAATCAATAATGTCATCTTGTTCCCCTACAACAAGTTTGTGCTTTTCTTTTTTAAGTAATTGTGATATATAGTGATGATATATGTATCTAAGTTTGTAAGAAATATTCTGTTCTACCTTTGGTTTTGTAATGAAATTCTAAATTATGTATCNAAAGTAATAAAAAAATTAGAATCTATTAATATATAAAGAGACAATGATATTTACCTGAAATAGTAACTAAAAATCAGCAAAAAAACATTTTGTTTTCCACGTAAACTATTTACTAAATTGAGTAATCTTTTTGGCCAAAATTTGAAAAATCCTGCCTATGTGATATCAACTTCATTTTTTCAAAAATTTAAAATGTAAGCATTGGGTCAGTTTGAAAACAAAATTGGACCTTATTTGATGTCTATCGGATATATTTATGCTACTTATTTTTTTAAGAGTCAATTGTCTTGCCAATCAAAAATTCAGATTTTTTGTTAATTTAAACTATCAGTTTATTTCAAACATTTCTTTTTTTTTCAATAAAAAAATACAAATTTAGTATTTCAATAAAAGATTACTAATTATAAAAAATATGATTTGGCCAATAATAAAATACAATACATATATGAAAAAATCTTTATGATTTTTTTTTATTTTTTATTTTTGTTCATTTTTGGTTTATAATCATAATAAAGATTATTTTTAATCCTAAGTATCATTCAAATCCATAAGGTATCACAATTTAAGTGCACAACAGTTAGGAATGTAAATTTTATTTGCATATAAAATATTAGATTTTATTTTTTTTTCAATATAAATGCTAAAATATGATTGCATAAGGTAGTACAATTTAGCTTTTTTTAAAACTCTAATTGATAGTAATTTGACATTATTAAAATTCTAAGACAGTACCTTAGGTGTAATAACACTCATTTGCACGATTTTCATACCTAATTAACAATCGAAATTTTAAAATTTTTTATAATCTTACCAACTAAAAATCGAATATGTAGTAATCCTAAAATAAGCATAATTTGAAGATATTGAAACTCATATTGATAGTAATTTGACAAAAAATAAAATTCTAAAAAAAGTTCACTACAGTCAGGAAAGTAAATTTCATTTGCAAAAAAAATAAGTATAGCGCAATTTAAGTTTTTTTAAAACTATAGTTGATAGTTGTTTAAACTTATTAAAATTCTAAAATAGTACCCTAAGAAAGTAAAACTAATTTGCATGATTTTCATTCCTAATTAATAATTGGACAAATTGAATTTTGTTTTATAATCTTACCAATAAAAAATTGAATATGCAATATTTAAAGCATAATCTAAATCTCTAAAAATATTTGCATTAATCTAATTAACAAATGAAACATAAATAAATTTCGCTATAAAAAGACCACGGTGATTATTTATCAGATAATATTTAATTAAAAATATTAAATACTTAACCTTTTACCAAACCAAGAATGTTGCGCATAGAGAAGTGTTTAATAATATATGATTTTTTTATATACTTTGTAGTTCTGATTTTTTTTTCATTATAATCAAATGCTTAATTTTTAAGGAAAATTATTTAAAATAAAGTTTAGAAAAAAGGTTTTGAGAAATAAACCCCACCGTGCAGCGCATGGGCAGTACACTAGTTCAAATAAAGTAAATTATTAAAAGGACTATTTGCGGTTAATAATAAGTAGTACGATACCCGTGCATTACACGGGTGTTGAATTAGAAAGGTTTTGTAAAAAGTATTATTTTTTTTAAATCTAAAATAATTTAATTTTATATAAAACATTATTTTGGGTTTTAATTAAATTGTCAAATTATATTTTTTTAGTCATAATAATTAAACACCCGTACATTAAATGAAAATGTCAACCCGTGTTGAATTTTTTTACTTATATCATATAAAAATATCGATATTATTTACTATTACATAAGTACAAAAATATATATCTTAAATAAATAGAAATAATATGGTGATTTGTATATGCATAAGTGTAAAAGATATTAAGCAAAATAGATTAATTTTTTTACTTAGTTAGATGCCTAATACATCAAGTGTCATATCAATCATGCTTCATAGTCTTTTAACTTTATATGTAATTTTAGAATTTATATAAATAATTATTTATTTTTATTAGATTGACAACATACCAAATAAATATAAATTTTAAAAGAATACATACCAATTTCTATTACTTTATAATATAATTTATAGTTTTATTTAATATAATTTAATTTAGTTTGATAAATAAATTTAAATTATATTTATAAGGATATATATTACAGTTTTGTATTATATATATATATATATATATAATATGGATGTCAAATCGAAAATCCTTAAAAGATAGTTAATTTGATATATCATATATGAAAAATAAAATACAAACAAAAAAATTATTAAATCTCAAAATAAGAAGAAGAAACATTTATAAAAACTAATGAATGAATTATATAAGAAAATGAAATGTGATGTATGGTCTTTTCAATTGTAAACTTGTAGCTATTATTAAAGAATCCTAAACTAACGGATTCTAATTCTACTTCCATATTAAATATACTTTTCTTATAAATCTTACTGGCATAAACGGTATGAACTAAATCGTTATATTGAACATATGGCGAAATTGTAATCACTTTTAACTTTTTTCATTATAAAAATTATTTAAAGAAATCCAATGCTTAAAGGGTTCTTTAAGCAGAAATTGATCTCTTGCGTCATGTTATACTAATCACAAATGATAATTAGGCTTGGCAATGTAATTTTTTTTATAAGAATTCTTTAAACAAAAAAATAATAATAATAAAAAATAAAAATACAAAACAGAATTGTAAGCATTAAGAGGACTCTTCACGATAGTTATCACTTAAATATCGATTGTTCATGTAACCATCCTTTATAGAAGTAAAGAAGGAAATAGAAAATATTAATTTATATCCAAGTCTAACTCTAAAATATGATTTTTTGCCAAATAGGATTCCGAAGAATGAGAGTTTGCCACATAGGCTCAGCGCATTCTGAAATTATATATAGAGGGGATAATAAGATCATTTAGGGCGTGATTGGCTACAAGTTAAAAACGATTTTGATTGATAGGATAATTATTGGGTAAATTGCACCAAACCCCCCTGTGTTTATGTAAATATGCGCGTTTTCCCCCTGTGTTTTAAAAACTGCACCATACCCCCTTAGGTTTTACTTCCGTTTGCGCGAATTCCCCCCGACCGTTTGAGTTGACGCGTGTGTATGAAACGCTCTAAATGAGCAAGTGTATGGATATTTTTTTACCGTTATTGTGTCTAAAAGACATTTTTACCCTTAGTAAGGGTCTTTAAATAGCCCGCCTCTCATGTTCTTCTTCCAAACCATTTTTAGAACACCTGGAGAGACAATTTCAAGCACAAAAAAGGTATTTTTTTTTTCACAACTTTCATTTTTTTTCACATCTTTGATTTTTTTTTTTTTTCAGCTTTCAAATTCAAATTTTTCCAGCCTTAATTTCTTCCTCTATGCTTCATTTTTTCCCCAGATTCAAAGACAAGGAAAGATTGAAAATGTCCCAAAAATCGAAGATGGAGAAGATTGACAGTTTGGATTTACGATACCGGTATCTAAAGTGTAAATGCAATGTGTTTGCACAAAATCAGGATAGTTGGTCCTACTAAAAGAACGGTTGGAAAGCTATTTTGCAATTGTCCGTACAACAAATGTGACTTTTTTGCTTGGTTTAAACCTACGACAGTGAATTGGGTGAAGCCATGCGCTCATGAAAATGAAGATTATGATGAAGATGATGATGAAGTTGAATCAACTGTAGCAAATTTAGCAAATGAAAATGCTGAAGTCACATCAATGCTGAAAGAGATGTATTCAAGGATGGAGAAATTTGAACAAAGATTTACCAATTGAGTGATGTTTTTAGTTATTGTAATCCTTGTAGTTGTTATCATTCTCAAGTAAATGTAGAATGTAATGCTTGATAATGTAAGCCTCTATTTTGTATGAAACTCAAGATTAGAATGAATGCATGAAAACCTGCTCAATATCCTGGCCAACAACATATGCTAAAACACATATACCAAAACAGAAATAAACAACATATGCCAAAACAGACTAATAGACTTATAGCAACATAAATGTCAAAACAGAAATAAGCAACATATGCCAAAAACAGACTTATAGTGATTGGTCATAAAAAGTGTGTATTTTATATATTATTAGCCTATTTTTATATGCTTAATTTTATCGTACTTATATATTTCTCGAATTAATTATTTAATTAGATGGATTCAAGTGCTATGATATTTTTATGATTTAATTTCAAGATATGAGTGTATTTTTATTGACGGGTAGCACCGGTAGCACTGAATGAGAAACTGAAGTATAGGCCCATGATGATGAGCCCAATTTCATAGCAGCACCCACATGAATAAAGCAAAACTGAGTAGCCAAGGATTAAGAATCATTTATTTATATAAAAAAAACAAAAAATCCGTGGACATCCATAAAAAAAAAAAAAAACATTCTGGACAAAAATAAAACAGCCGGATTCTCAAAATCCGTTTTTCAAGGAAAAACGGATTTTGAGAATCCGTTTTTATTTTTTTATTATTTTTATTTCTATTTTTTTTTATTTTTTGTTAAAAAACGGATTTT